AATTCAGAAGGGGGTGGTAGCCCAACAAATGATTATTGCCCAGTAGTTACTTCTGAAATATTTTGAAATTTTATGTTCATTAGTTATATATTATCAAGAAAACATAAAATCAGGGGCTGGAGCAATAGCACAGTGGGTAGGGCGTTTGCCTTGCATGCAGCCAACACGGGTTCGATTCCCAGCATCCCATATGGTCTCCCCAAGCAGGAGTAATTCCTGAATGCATGAGCCAGGAGTGTGACCCAAAATTATCATAATAATTCCCTGTGCATCGCTGGGTGTGACTCAAAAGCAAAAAAAAAGAAGAAAAGAAAAGAAACCATAAAATCAATAGGAAAAAAATTACCCACTTTGAAAAGCCCAATTTCTTTCATTTTTATCTATTTTCCCACAGTCTTTTCCTTATAAAGTTAATTTTCTCAAGACACAAAGAAGGTGGCTTGGTGTTCTGGTCCTTCATCCCTGCTCCAGAGGGATGCTGAAGCATTATTAACCAAACATCTTTGTATATTTGACCCAAAGTCAATGCTTATTAGAAGAAAGAGTGTAATTCTGCTTGTAACTGTATCAAACAGGAAACCTTAGATAATTGTATGCATATTTTCATGTCAAGTTTAACTTTTAAATCATAAATACTTGTAACTGATAATTCCATTGAAGGATTCCACTGAAGTGATTCAAACAGTATTTCAGGAACCCTAACACTAACTTGCTATCTACTTAAACACCACTAGGTGGTACTAAACGATCTTTCTTGTTTTTAGAGTAAGCTTGAAAATGTACATGTGTTCCTCTTCCAGTTCTTTAAAGAATAATTTTTTATAAGCAATCAATTGGGGATACGGGGGTTCACTCCGCTCTGGAGTCACCCAAGTCCCAGCTTACGCACTTAATTATCTTCCTTTATGAGACGCTCTCTCTCCGTTTCTCTCTCTCTCCCCCACACCTTTTTCTTATTACAGTCTCCTAGAATTAGTATCTTCCCTTAATAAAACTATCTTAACTTTTTAAAACAATTGAAAAATGGATTTAAGAGAAATTTGGAGTTGATGACAAATTTTAAAATTCTAAACTAAATCAGATGAGCAAACTAAAATAATAAATTTACCAAAAACAGAATGACAAACCAAACTACTTTACATTATGTCTTAGTTGTCATAAAAAAATGAAATAACTTTTCATGCATGTTATGTATCTTGAGAGCATCCATATTCTTTTGCCTATACACTCAATCAAAAGCACTCAATTTAGCTAGAAATTAGAATTTTTATTCATTTGTAATCTGATCACGTTCCCACCTTTGTTCTGTTTCTTTAATTTGCATCCTTTTAAAATTATTCTCTGTCACTGTCACTGTCACTGTCCTCCCGTTGTTCATCGATTTGCTCGAGCGGGTCCAGTATCGTCTCCATTGTGACAACTATCAGAAAATCACTGTACTGTTGCAAATAGCCAACTAAGAAAGACAATCAAACTAGGGTTTAAAATAGTCTTTCCTAAAGCATATACTCAAATAGAGCAATCAGATTTTATCCCTTTAACATTTTTTCTAACATATAAAGTATTTCTGAATACATGAAGAACGAACGTAATAACTTGGAAAACTTTCAGGATTTAATTTGATAATAGATTTTTCCCCTACATGCCACAGCATCTTCTCACTAATTCAGACATCTTTCATTAGGAAAATTAGAGAATTTGAGAACGAAACAAACCTAGCATGATAATTACATACCTTGGCCTCTTAAGCCTAGGTTGAACTCTAGAGCAATCTCTGTGAACTTGGACAAGTTATTTAACTTTTCTACCTTTTTTTTCTATAAATACGAAATAAGAATTTTTCCTAGAGATTTTATGAGGATTCACTGTGTTTGATATCAGTACCATAGCAAAGGAAAACTATTACTAATATTCTCATAGGTCGTGGTGCCTGTTAGAGAATGGGTGCCATAATCATTCCAATGAATCCAGATCTCTGTTCCCTAAAACTTGCCATAGAAATAAAAGTTCTCCATGAGTAAGTGGATTGAGAAAGAACGTAGGAAAAGGAACTGAGTTCCACCCTGTTCTTGTATAGAAGAAAAAAAGCTTCAGATTCAGAGAGGAACAAGACTAAAATCCAGGAAGGATTATAAATTTGGGGCTACAAGTTCTAGGATTTCACAGAATTAAATGAGAAATCTATTGAATTTTTTATAAGATGTGGGGTAGATGGTTCTGACCCCAAATTAAAAGAATCAGTTTATGGATGGAATGCTTATAAATTACTAAGTTGAAAAAGAGTCTGTATTCATCTATCTATATGTATACATAGGGAAATATATAAAAGGTAAAGGTAAAGGCCCTCCCGTTGATCGTCGATTTACTCGAGCGGGCCCAGTAACGTCTCCATTGGAGACTTTGTTGTTACTGTGTCTGGCATATCGAATACTCTCGGTAGCTTGCCGGGCTCTCCGAGAGGGGCGGAGGAATCGAACTCGGGTCGGCCATGTTGGCTGCTTGTAAGGCGAACGCCCTACCGCTGTAAACATATATATGTATATATACATCAGGATTAATTCTTTGTGAGTCTATGTTTTTCAATTCACTAACTAGCTGAAATTTATTTGTGATCTGAAATCAACACTCGTGACATTTTCATAGTCATCTGTCCAAGGGCACAGGGAAGCTCCATGTACATGTTTCGCACTGAGGCTGAAAACTAGGGAATGCTCTGCTCTTGCTTCGATTCTTACAGTTCAGGCAACTTTTGCTTTTATGACTTATTTAGTGCTAAGTTCGTGTGTGTGTGCGTGTGTGCGTGTGTGTGTGTGTGTGTGTGTGTGTGTGTGTGTGTGTGTACTGTTTGTTGTTATGCTTTATTTGGAAGTTGGCTTGTTCTCTTTTGCACTTTTGAGCTTCTTTGGTTGATGTGGAGTTTACAATGCCCCTAACGGGGCTGGAGAGATAGCACAGCAAACAGGATCCTTGCCTTGCACACTGCTGTCCCAGATTTGACTTGATTCCTGGCATCCCACATGTCCTCCCAAGCCCCTCCAGGAGTAAGTCCTGAGTATTCGGGGGCTGGTAAGCCCCAAAACCAAAGCACACCAAAAGAAAGGGTCCTAAAACATAGTACTGAACTATCTGTTGCCATGACCTTGAGCAAAGAATATTGCAAATGTGCTAAGAAAATATGGGGAATGGACAAGTATGCTTGGGTATGCTTTTTTCGGGTATGAATTGCAGTGCTGTTGGTAATGATGTTCATGTTAATGAATCCGCGGCACGTATAAATCATGGTGTCTTTAGAGAGTAATATGCATTAAGGGACTACAATATAATTCTGACTCTAAAGCACTCTGGCATCAGACTCCATAAATTAAAGGGAACAATCCCTCAAGACTTCCCTTACTTCAGATCTAATCTCAGGCCTGCACTTCCCATCAGCTATGAATCTGGGGATTCTGATAACCTACTCTCAGGATCAAGAATGCACTAGGATGACTCATAGATCAAAAAAGGCACAAACATACAAAACAGTTTCATGAAAAGGAGGGTGTGGTCCATCCTGAACACATCATGCTCATATTTTAAAGCTCACTTTACAAAGAAGATAGAAAGTAAAAGTAATGCAAAAGTAACCGAGAGCACAGAAGTCTGCCAGAGCTGTTTATGTTCAAACAGTCTTGTAATCTTCACCAGCCAGGAAGCTATCAGGTATCAGGATCAGTTATACTCATATTTACATGGAATGCGGAAAACAGGAACAGCGCCTAATCTGGACCAAGCAGTATTCTAAGCGCTGGGGAGGAACAGTTCTGCTCTCCTGGAGTCTCTTCTCCTGATGGGCAGGAGGGATCATCGACAATAAATGAAAAAGAAAAAGACTGGTAGGTGTCAGGTAGTAATAAATATCAGGAAGAAAAATCAGACAGTGTAAGCCCCTGAGTAATGAGGCATTGACTAACTTGTCAACACGGCCGTGATGCATGAACAGGAGATCTGAGGGGTGAAGGAGAGGACAACTGGGATAAGGAAGAACAGAAAGTTCCAGATTCACACAAGTGCTGACCTCAGACGTTGCTGCTGGAAGGGCAGTGGCACGTTAGTCAGAGCAAAGAGAGTGACAGGAATGGCAGGAAATGAGGACAGTGAGACGACTGCAGGTTGATGAAGCTATTCTCGGTATTTTGAATGTGATTTGAATGTGATAGGAAATTGCTAAAGAGTTGTCAGCAAGGGATGTGTTCTGACTTGTGCTTTAAAATGTTGAGGGTGCAGAGTGAAAGCGCAGTAGACAGGGCATTTGCCTTGCATGAGGCCCACCCGGCTCAATCCCTGGCACCCCATATGGTCCCCTGGGCACCACTCAGGAGTAATTTCTGAGTGCAGAGTTAGAAGTAAGCCCTGAGCAAAACAAAACAAAATTTTCCTGGGAACTGGGCAAAGAGGAGCAGAAGGCAAGATGGAAAGCAGGAGGCCAATCGAGAGGCGATTGAGAAACCCTGGAAAGACATAAGGGCAGTTGCGTTGGAGGCTGCGGGAGGAAGTCAATATTTCAATATGTGTTGGAGGTAGGGCTCTCTGCTAATGGAATGGGGCTGGAGTGTTTTCAAAGAGAGAAGTCAAAGGGAAATAAAGGAGAACTCCAAGTTTTGTTTCTGGGACAACTGGAAAGATGGTGGCGACAGTAACTAAGTTGGGGAACACCAGGAAGGAAATTACGTTTTCTTCTCAATCTTCTTGGAATGGCCACGGCTCTAGTGTAGCTGAGATTGTGAATGTTTTTAATTATTCGTTCTGGAGTTCTCTGTTTATTTGGATTTGCTTTGGGGGGCTTCTTCCTAGTGTTCTGCTCTCACTCCTATGAGGCACAGAGATCATATAGAGTGCTGGGGATTAAATTCGAATTGGCCACATGCAAGGTAACTGCCCTGCCCATGGTGTCATCTCTCTAGACCCTTTACACTTCTAATTATTTGGTAGCTGCATAGCTAATGAGTTGAAATATATTTGCGATACTGACCTGGCCGGGAAGATAACATGACCACGAAGGTGGTTTTCCCAGGGCGAGGCTTATCCATTGCACACTGGATGTGCTGATCCCTGCGATTTCCCCGAATGTTGGAAATGCGACTGCATAGTTTGGAGTTATGGGGGACTGTGTTTGTGCTCTCCCCTAAAAAAGAAACAATAGATTGGGGTTAAGGGATACGAGTTAGAGCACATTCCCAGCATATGCTTGTTCTGGATTTCAGCACTATATGGAACATCAAGCATCTCTAGATGCATCCCTGGAAGCCCTAAACTACCACCAAAGTGGTTCTGGAAGTTCCTGAGCACTGTCAGGGTGGCTCAGGTAATTGCGACACCATAAGGCCTGAGCTGCACCACACCCTCAGTCCCTTGCATTGAACCACAGTCAGGTTGACTGAGAATCTCCTGAGCACCAGCTGGAAATTTCCCCCAGCCACCCCTTAAAAAAGCATGTAAAGTACTGTGTCTGGAGTAAAAATGACATCTGTACCTATATGTTCATTGTTGCACAATAGCCAAAATCTGGAAACAACCCAAGAACAGATGACTGGTTAAGGAAACTTTGGTACATCTACACAATGGAATACTATGAAGCTGTCAGGAAAGATGAAGTCATGAACTTTGCTTATAAATGGATAGACATGGAGATTATCATGCTAAGTGAAATGAGTCAGAAAGAGAGGGACCGACATAGAAGGACTGCACTCGTTTGTGGAGTATAAAACAACATAACATGAGGCTGACTCCTAAGGACAGTAGATACACGAGACAGATAAATTGCTCCATAGCTGGAAGCCTGCCTCATGAGCTTTTAAAGGGGAGAAGGCAGCTGGAATAGAGAAGAGATCACTAAGAAAAAGATGACTGGAGGAATCAGTCAGGATGGGAGATGTGTGCAGAAAGTAGATAAAGGACCAAACATGATAACCTCTCAGGGTCTGTATTGCAAACCATAGTACCCCAAAGTAGAGAGAGATTATGGGGAATACTGTCTGCCATGGAGGCAGGGGGAGGGTGGGAAAGGGGGGTTATACTGGGGATATTGGTGGTGGGGAATGTGCACTGGTGGAGGGATGGGTGTTTGATCATTGTGTGATTGTAACCCAAACATGAAAGCTTGTAACTATCTCACAGTAATTTAATAAAATCAAAAAAAAAGAGAGAGAAAAAGAAAAAAATAAGTACTGTGTCTGAGATTTGTCAGTCCACAATAAATAGTGGCTGCTTCTTGTCCTCTTTAAACCACAGATTAGTATAAACATATTTTGTGGGGCTGGAGCAATAGCACAGCGGGTAGGGCGTTTGCCTTGCACATAGCCTACCCGGGTTCGATTCCCAGCATCCCATATGGTCCCCTGAGCACCGGCAAGGGTAATTCCTGAGTGCAGACCCAGGAGTAAGCCCTGTGCATCACCGGGTGTGACCCCCCCAAAAAATATTTTGTAAAATATCCAGAACAACCATATAAAAACATAGTTCATGAGAAAGGAACCCATCTTTTTTCCTAATTTAGTGACTAACCCTTTCTAGGTAAAGGAAGAGAAAGTTTTTCAATTCACTTATTTTTTAAAAAATTAAGAGGGCAAGTTCTTAGGAAAAACTAAATTTAAATGCATTGCCTTCTGACTTGGTCTCTTGTAATAACTGATGAATGACAATCCAAAATTCAAGCAAAGGATATTAAAATAGAAATATCCTAAAAATATATAGCTGAGATAAGGAAAACAGTGAATTGCTTTCAGTTATACTGTTTATTGCCAGGACTCTACTGCATAGTTTCCATGAAAACAAAAAGAAATGGTTTTGCAAAAGAGCAACTGTGATAGGACAATTGGAAGTACCACTCTTTCTGTTGCTGACATGGAAGTACCACTCTTTCTGTTGCTAATTTTAGTCAGCTTTATTGAAATATAGATCATGTACAAAAATGCAATCATTCAAAAAGTTTCTAGAGCTTTGACAAATAAAAATCTGTGTTCTGACATTCACTATTAGACAGATGTTACAGCTATTATCTCTTTCCCAGTAAATTTCCTCCCACCTTTTGGGACCACTTCTATTTATTATTGAATAGAACTAGCCCTAAGTTATGCGTCTCTGTTCAGTTAACAAAATTCAATTCAAAGTCTGGACTTATTATTAATAAGTCCAGACTTTTTCTCTCTTTTTGGGAAAAAGAAAAATAAATTCTACTACAGAGAGACAACCCCTCTTGTATATGGGCAGGGGATGAGTATGGAGGAGTGTTAGTAAAGTTTCTCTAAGTGTTTTTTTTCTTTTTGGGGGTCACACCCGACAATGCACAGGGGTCACTCCTGGCTCATGTACTCAGGAATTAATGCTGGCGGTGGTTGGGGGACCATATGGATGCTGGGAATCGAACCCAGGTCGGCCGTGTGCAAGGCAAATTCCCCACCCGCTGTGCTATCGCTCCAGCCCCAGTTTCTCTAAGTTTTATATATTTTTCTTCAGTCCACAAGAACATGTAGAGGAACCCAAGACTGTTTTTGATGAGGGGATTTTTTGGAGCTTTGTGTCACTACAAGATGAACAAATTGTGTTTTCATATATAGAGAAGAGAGAGAACTGGTTAAGGGGAAGAGCCTCCACCAGATCTGGACCCAAATCTTAGGTCTAATACTGACTACACGTCATTGGATGATGTTAATGAGATGTGCCCTCAAGTTCCTCATCTGGAAAAGTGGGCTCAAACACTAACTTTATCTGTCTGTGTCTCTACCTCTCTGGTAGATACTTGAAGCTAGAGTCATACTTACTTCTGTTGTACCTTCTGATCCTAGTCCATAGGCAGGAGCTGATCCAGTCTGTAGAAACTAAAATGTGGCAAAAAAGATCTTACAAATCTGGTTCTTACTTCAAAGTTGGTTTTCTCAAAAAGATTCTATCAGGTCAGAGAGATGACTCACATTGCTGTCACGGGTGCTTTACATGCAGGAACGCTAGGTTTGACCTCCAGCACTGTATGATTCAATGCTGAGTACGACTATAGATAAGACAGGGCACTTGTCTTGCATGTGACCAACCCAAGTTGAATCCCTTTTACTGCATGTGGTCTCTCCCACTCAGCACCGCAGAGAGTGACCACTGAGCCACAAAGCCAGTAGACCCTGAGCGTCACTGAATATATCCCAATCTTCCCCCAAATAAATAAATAAAAATAAAGTCTAATCCATGACTCTATCATCTACCATTCTTTTTTTTCCTTTGACAGTTATGGTCCATTGTATTAAAGAGAGGAAAAAAGATGCAATTTTTTTTTTTTTACTTTTTGGGTCACACCGGCGATGCTCAGGGGTTACTCCTGGCTCATGCACTCAGGAATTGCTCCTGGTGGTGCTCAGGGAACCATATGGGGTGCTGGGAATCGAACCTGTGTCGGTCATGTTGGCTGCGTGCAAGGCAAACGCCCTACCCACTGTGCTATCACTCCAGCCCCAAGAGATGCAATTTTTTAATGTTTTAAAAGTAAACAGAAAAATAGACAAAGAGAAAAGACAGAGAACTGCAATAAAAGAATTGCAAGACAGAAAGCAGCTGAAAATATGTCCATCATAAAACTACAAATTTGTGCACATAAGCAGCTTCTTTCTTCATTTTAAGATATATGGAAGTTTTAACATATATGCAAATATGTTTTAACATATATGAAAATACATTTTAATCTATATATGGAAATACAATCTAAATTTTTCTGTTCTTGTTCAGTTTCAACCTATTTTAAATGATGTTATTTGATGACTTTGCAGTGGTGCATCAATAATGAAAGTTCAAAATATTTTCAGTAAACTAGAGGCCACTAAGTTGTAGATAACTGCACTTATAATATTTAATATTCTCTCCTGATTTAGGAAAAGCAACTAGTATGTCATAACCAATGTCTAAATAATTTCATAGCTAACTCAGAGCTGGAACTCAGCTCTCTTTAAATTATGGTGTGTTTGTCATTTGTTTGGTTTTTAACATACTTGCTTGTATTCTCTTATATACAGGCTTAAATGGCTCCAGAATGAAATACAACAACCTCACACATGTCCCTCTTATTGTGGTGGGAAGAAGCTCACTGTTGGGGTGGGAGTTTGAATATTACCTGTAATGAACTATTGTGAACTACTTTATGAAAATAAGATGTATAAAAATCACAAAAAATAAGTAAGTCAAGTATGGTGTGTTTGGGTTTGTTTGAACTCAAATCAAATATCTTCAGCAAAACTGCTTAATTATTTAAACTGAATGTCTGATATGTCAAGCAGGGATCTTAAAGCAAATCAATTTTAAAGTGCTTTACAGGGGGCTGGAACAATAGTTCAGCAGGGAATGTATTTGCCAACCAGGGTTCAATCCCTGGCATCCCAAACTGTCCTCTAAGCACCACCAGGAGTAATTCCTGATTGCAGAGCCAGGAGGTGTTACCCAGAAGGCTTAAAAAAAGTGCTTTACAAAAAAATACAATATAAAGTTGTCATTTAAAAAGAAATTGCTTTCATTCACTATGTATTTATCTTAATAAATGTAAACATAAAAACAGGGGACTGTGCACCTATGGACTCTGTGTGGACATACCCATCATAAAATCCCTGAGACCATATCACTTTGCAAATAAAACTCTGCTATATTCAATAAGAATTCTTACAAGGGAAAAGAGATTCATTTATAAAGTGCAAAAACTAGAGCTAGAGAGGCAGTAGAGTCGGTAGTACCAGCAACTAGAGAAATATTCCCAAAGTAATTATTCTGAGGGAAAGAAGTCACATACATTGAATTAATAGGTAGAGATATAGGTGATTTTAATGTATCATTTACCTATATCTCTATATGCATAGTGACTTAAAAGCAGAATATCATATTCTTGGTGATGGAGGTGAAGGAGGACAGTGAAAAGGTACAAACAGAATTACCAGGGCACAAGGAAATTTTTGCAGCCCATTATTTTGCTCACTATCTTGATGTTGCTGAAGGTTTCAAGGGTGTATACATCTATAAGAACATCAAATTGTAGGCTGGGGCTAGAAAGATAGTAGAGGCAGCGAGGCATTTGCCTTTTCATGAGGTGAACTTGGTCAAACTCCCTGGTACTCTATATGGTCTCCCAAGCACTGCCAGGGGTCACTCCTGAGCCCAGAGTCAGAAAAAAAAAAAACAAAAACCTGAGCACTGCCAGGTGTGACCTCACTCTCTCCACCAAAAACAAAAAGAAAAAAAAACAGACCAAAAAAAATCAAAGTGTACTTTTAAAATATGGTGGAGGGATGGGTATTTGATCATTGTATAATTGAAACCCAAGCACAAAAATTTGTAAGTCTACACCTGTACCTCATGATGTCTCACTAATAAAAATTTTTTAAAAATGTAATTTTATTATATGTCATGATACAGGGCTGGAGCGATAGAACAGCGGGTAGGGCGTTTGCCTTGCACGCAGCCAACATGGCCGACCCGAGTTCGATTCCTCCGCCCCTCTCGGAGAGCCTGGCAAGCTACCGAGAGGATCTCACCCGCACAGCAGAGCCTGGCAAGCTCCCCGTGACGTTTTCGATATGCCAAACACAGTAACAAGTTTCACAATGTTACTGGGCCCGCTCGAGCAAATCGATGAACGAGAGGACCGTGACCGTCATGATACAAGGAAACTGATTTTTTTTTAATGGTCATATATGCTTGAGAATACTTCAAATCTTTATTTCATTCCCTTAAGAGTAGATATAGGCTCTCTAGTCATTCCCCAGTAGGAACATATCTCTGTACTTTGGTTTGGGGGCTACACCTGGTATTACTCAGGGGTTACTCCTGGTGGTGCTCTGCGCTCAGAGATCACCCCTATTGGTGCTAAGGGAACCATATACAGTGTCAAGCATCAAACCTGGGTTGACCCCCTGTAAGGCAAGCGTCCTACCTGTTCTACTTCCTCTGTAGTTCCATTTTTTTTGCACTTCATTAATGAATCCCCCCCCCCCCCCACCTCCTGCAACAATTCTTACTGAATATAGGCAACTTTTTTTTTGTAAAGTAACTTGGACATACTGGTCAAAACCATGATTCTTTTATCTTTTCTTTTGTTGAGCTGCAAGCAACACGAACATGACTCAAAACATTCTTTCAAGGAACTGGGGGACTGATCATTGGTTGAGACCTACTTGCAGGCTGGCAGCACAAATTCAGTACTCTTGACACCAGTTCACACGCTTGAGCACTCTCCAACAACACTGCTGTTTGAGAGCCTCCAATCTACAACAGAGCATGCAATCTCCCATGCCCAAGCGTGTGCAAATCTGGGTCACCTACATAGCAACAAAAAGAGGCAAAAGAAAAAAAATTAAAGTAACATTAATGATCAAAAACTCCTTTCTCACAAATATTTTTGTCCAGTGTCAAAAAGTGGTTTGCCCTAAATCACTCAGTACACATTAAGTCGGTGACCAAGGGGCTGTAGGATACTCCAGCGGTCAAGGTGCATACTTCCATGTAACTGACCCTAAGGTGGTTGACCACGCATCACCAACTGCAGCTATGGAGGCCCTCAAGCACCACCAAAGCGGTTCCTCACTAAGCTGCTAGGCCAGGGAGTGGATTGATAGTACGCTTGGCAGGGCATCTGCCTTCTCACGGCTGACACAGCTTAAATCTTCAGCACCCCATATGGTCCCCAAGCTTGCCCAGAGTGATCCCTGAGTGAAAACTCCGGTTGTGAACCCCAAGTACTACTGGGTATGGCCCCAAAAGCAAATGGGGTTGCTTCTCAAGCCTGTGTTCTCCCTTGAACCCGTATCTCACTTGCTTACCTATCTCCACTCTGGAGAAGCTTGTGTTCTCTCTTGAACACACACTTCTCCCTTTTCCTTCCTTCACATCTCTCAAAATAAGTCTCAATAAACTGTCTTGCTTCCAAAAAATTTGAATTAAGAAATAAACTGCTAGCCCTGTTGGCCAGGACTTTCCAGAAAGAGCCCTTGGGCCTTCTGAGAGCCACTTGAAAGTCTCCACTCTCACCCCCCAAAAAAGTTAAATATATAAGCCAGTGGACTGTCTACTGGAACTTTAATACATCTACAATAATCATAGGTCTGACTCACTTGACCAGGAAGCCAAAGGAGCGATAGGAGGTCTCAGTGATACACCAGTGGCAGTGGCAGTTCCACTACTTGGTTTCTCTAGATACTAAAGGGGACCAAGGTTAATCTAGCTGCTTTCTTTTGTTGTGAGACAAAAGATTACTTCCCGACACACTCATCTGACAGGGGCCCACAGTAATCCAGATTAAGGTCTTATACACCTGTGCAAAAGCCTCAAAGATGAATTCACAGTGCTCTCCTGGATGGCTGCCATCTTCCCTGGTGCCAGGAATCCAACCCGGTCAGCCGCATAGAAGGCAAAGCTTCCTGCTGCTTGCGCAAACACTCCAGTTCTCTACGATGTAATGAGAGTGTAGTGATGGGAACACCTACTATTTTCAGTAGACAGTCTTAAGAGAAGAAACTGTCTCAAGGAGATGGCTTAAGAAAAATGACTGCATTAACTTACAATTGCTGGGTTCTACATCACACTTCTTTTCCTCTTATATGCTGTGAGAACTGAAACTGCCCATTTGGACAGGTTGGAGACAGGCAGGTTCTCTTTTCAAAATCTTCAAAAAGTGTCTGGTAAAGCTACGCAGTAGTATCCTCTTCTTTGAAGTTAACAAACATGGAAAGCTTAGTCACTGATTAAACAATCGCATGTCAAAATATCTTAGCAGGCCAGACATTGGTACAGCAGCTAGGAAGTTTGCCTTGCACGTGGCAGACCTGAGCTCAATCCCCAGCTCTACATATGGTCCCCTGAGCACCACCAGGAGTGAGCACTGGACACATAGCCAGGAGAAAGCCCTGAGCACCACTGGATGAGGCTCAAAAGCCAAATAAATAAACTGACTGAAGTTTTAAAATTACAGTATATTATTTTCAAAGCTCAATCAGTATCTCCACACTCCATTCCTATTAGGTTGATTCCAATGACGGTAGTCCATTTGATATAAAAATATCCATGTACCAGTTATTTTGTTTTTATTATCCTAATTAACTATGAATCCTTAATGATTTCCAGTTTCTAGTACCTAACATGTACTTAAATTGTGCTGAATGAATGCTACTTAGTAACTACTCTGGGTGTATGAGCATAATACAATTAATGAAAGAAAAGGTCCAATGCAAAACATTTTAATAGGGTGTCAAATATACAGTTATTAGAATTATCTAAATATCACTTATAAAAATTGGTGTATCACATTAGATGATTCTATAAAATAAAAACACAAATCACACATTGACAATAACCCCTGCAGTCCACGAATATCCCCCAGTTGTACAAATTACAAACATGTATTTTTTAAAAAAGAAACATTAGACACTTAACACAAAGTAACTCTGACTAGACTAAATACATTCATTCAAGTACAATACATCTAGCATAGTCACTAATAACACAATTTAGGTGCAATTTCACATGCTTTCGTAAGTCTTCCAGTACAGCTCCCATAGTAAAGTGTCTTTGTGCACACATCATACATCATACTTAAGACTATTTCACTTGTTATTATATACTGTAAGTGAACACCAGGCCAAAATTTAACCTCAATTATGTCAAAGTTGAACAATTTTTAAATTTCTTATAAAGTGTATTTTAATGTGTTTAGTTGCATGAGTCTTATTTTTCCCTCTTACTAGATGCTAGCAAAATAAAGATTTAATCTAACTCAAAACCTTCCTAAAGTATTATCAATTATTTAAAGTAACAATACAATCACTTGAAGTCAAAAAGGAATTTCTTAATTCATTACCAAATTTAAAATACCACTTAAAGAGGACAATTTTTTTAAATGTGCAGTAATTTGCTTGTGAATATGTATTGAAATGCTTTTCACAGTACTGTTGTGTTAAAACACTACACTAAATGGATAGCCTAAGTAAAACGTACCTTCAACAATAATGAAAATTAAGGCCTTTTAACGCTAACTATACTCACTAAACTTAGAAGTCAAATAGCGATAATAATGTTGCATTATTCGTCACCTCTTTAACATACTGCAAATTGCTTCATCTCAACTCAATCATTGGTTTTTACACAAATACCCATGCTAACTTTACAATCCTTAAACTCCTATTTCCCCATATATCTTAATTTTGTCCCCATCCCATCTAGACAGAACACTGCAAGTGGTTAGGGACTTGTCTGGTTACAACTGTATATCCAGGGACTGAAAACGGCATGTGGTAAACATATCCAGTAATTATTTCTGAATACACGAGGAGGCCTTGTCTCCGCAGGCAACTCTACTCCCTTTTCCAAAGCATGAACAGACAACTGCCACCTCTTCACATGACCGAATGAACAATTTTTAAAGGAAATCCAGTATGTGAAAACAAGATAGAATGTAAGAGGCGGATAAAGAAGGTTACAAACATACCAAATCATAGTTAAAGGCACTGGGTGAGGAAGATAAATATGAGGCAGTGTAAACAACTTTGAAAGCAAAGTACGTTTTCCCAAACAGTTAAGAGAAAAATGGCACTACAATCAAGACAATGTTTAAGATAGTGGATAAAACTGTCATTTCACAAAGAAAAAAATCTTCCACTGCTCTACCATTTTCTGCAATATCCAGAACCCTAGGAACAACTGTCCTCTGGTTGAGTGAAACAAAATTACATCTGGACCATCTCTGGACATCAATCTCTTGACCGTCATAATGTTGATACACAGTCGCTATAGAGATGAAATTAAACATCATCTTGAAAATCATACCATAGCAAATATACTCAATCAAATTTCAGAACAAGTTCTTGTCTGGCGGAGTACAATCTAAAGCCCCACAACAGCAAACTGTAGTGTAGAGAAACACAGCAGTCTCTTCAGACACATAAAACAACCAATAATGAAGACTGAGTTGAAAATAAGAGCTCCACGGTAGAGTCATTTCATATGTATTCTCACAACTGTTTCTTGAAAAACTACTTAGATAAAATACTTAGCATTTATCAATTTTTAATTTATTTGAATCTATGCAACCTTTATCCATATTAAAATATCAATTAATGTAAATATTTATTATAAAACTATTTTACAATTTAAATTTTTATTCAGAAATGTATTAGTTACTAGACACAATTTTCTGTTCATGAATGTGTTCCCTAAGAAATACCCTAAAACCATTACAGTTCCTACAGGGAGAGGGGAAACTGTGATAATCCTTTGAACCCAAACTATGCTTCCTTATGATGTAAACATTTACATGTTTATATATGCGTCATGAATAGTGATCGTTCATCCCCACATTGGTAAATTTCAGCATAATGTTAAATCACTGGACTAGATAGTAAAATGACCATATGAAACATAAAATGACATTGGACAACAGTGATAAAAATGTAAACAAACAGAATAAATGTTAATCCCATCCCTGAAAATCAAAAGATCAAAGCGCTTGTTTCATTACAATAAAACATAACCTCCTGTAAAAAGGTAAGACACTGATTTTACAAACCCTTTTTCCAAATATGGATTAAAAAAATCTGGAACAGTTGATTCAGACTTTATTGGGCTAAAATGTGCAAAATATCTGGTAATACTTTTATTAAATTTGATGGACATAGCTGTTACCATCCCATACAAAAAAAGGCTCTTTTATAGTTAAGATTAAAGTGTTTAATTATTTGAGTTTAAGACTTGTTGAACCACCATTCAAATAACAACAACAGAAGTCTATATTGTAGAAGAAAAATAAAAACTGAAAAACACAACCATTAATGAGTCAAAATATGTCCCAGAAAAAAGCTACAATAACTTGGCAGTAGAGAAAAATATGAAGACCCAATAGAAAACAGTCAATAAAGTAATAAACAAAACTTTGCTAAATTCTGCAACAAGATACATATAATATATTTTCCGGTTTAACAGATCGACTAAGCATAGGATTAAGCCATTTGGTACTTGGTGTTCAGGAAATTCACTAAGTGCCCCAGACAAGGGTTGGAAAGGTGAGAAGAAAAAAACTGTCATGCTTTCCTCCATAACAACAAAGTGCTTAATTCAAAAGTTTTATTTGCAATTTTAGGGTAAAAAAAAAAAAGAGGATGGCAGTCTAATACTTCATAATTTTCTAGGAACAGGGTAAAACTTATCTCTAATTTGATGTATTATTAAGTGAATCAAAGTGCAAGTGATCAATCAAGCACCAAAATATTTGCAAATTTAAATCAAAGTTTGAAATGTTTCTGGAAAAAAATTACCAGTTTTTTTATTAAAAAAAATAGTGAATTTGAAATGTAGGTAATCCAAAGAATCTAATTCTTTTCAAAAACAGCATTACTCTCCCCTCTAAGAAATTATAATTTCTTTCTTGAAATAAGACATAAACTGCTTCAGAGTCTGAGTGAAAAAGAAGCAAATTTAGATCATCAAACTAATGATGCGATAATTTAAACAAAGCATTTTTGATAATGCAATTATGAATATTGTCCTTTACTGCATACTAGAATTTTGAGAAACATTATTTTGGCAACATATATTTATACTACTGCTTAGCTAAATGGGACATATAAACAAATAAAATTTTAAAGGAAAAAACCTTCAGAAGATCCTTAAGAAATAAGACAAAACTTCAATCATCCACCTTTTTGAAGCAGCAGTTAGTAAAAGTACAGTTTATAATACTTCTCATAAGATACTACATATACTGATTTCCTTCCAAATGAAAGAATATAAAGAAAAAACGAGTTTGTTCCTTACAATTATGCTCTCTTTTTAACCCTGGCAGGAATAGTGACACTAATTTCAAGACTTTTGTTGTTGTACCCATTTTACATGAAATTTAATTTTGTAATATGCTTGCTTATAAATGGAAACGTAAGGGAAATCTATTCTTGGAATGCAGTGATTCTAGATCATTTTACTAAGAAGCACCTTCTAATATGCTGGTTTGAACTTTTAATATAAAATCTAAATGGTATCTTTTCCTGGAGCGAATTTTCTCCAGGTTTAGCCATTTCAGACATAGCAATACCTGTGCTTTCTAGATTTTTGAAAGTGTTCTAATAATGTAATGATTATAGATATACCTCACTGTTAAGGTTGGTGGACAGAAATATCACAATAAATTGGCTACAGAAAATGAAACTCTTAATAACTCAATGGTCTGCATTTTGTTTGAGCCAAAATACATGTTTAAGCCATGTACCACCACAATCCCTGCTCAACCTTTCTAAGTTTCTTTACTCTTCATAGTATTCTAATGAACAAGTAATTAGTTTTCCTGAGTAAGATTATAAAAAAGTTAACCCTCCTACCAAAAGTATAAAGACAAATAAACTACAGACTCACAATACAAATTTTTACATAGCATTACAAGTGCAGAGATATTACCTCCTGTTTCTCATTATGATTGCCCTGACTGCAGTAAAGCATTCAATTGTCTAAAATACTTTGCAGTACGGTGATTAAATGCTTTAGCCCATAAACATACCCCTCATCTATCGTGTTGCTAGGGAACACATGAGCAAAATCTATCATTCGCACTTCTACATCTCCAATCTCTTGGCAACCACTGGGAAGATGGTAGAAAACTTTTTCCAGTTGGGAGAGCACATTTCCGTTTAAATGTTCCTGTGACATGCTTTTCCACCCATTGTCTTGCTCAATGCTTTCAACCTTCAATGACGTTTGACTGTGATGCTTTTTTGGATACATTTTTCTGTGACGAGCATACATTTTGGACAAGTTTTTGCCGACTGTAGCCTCTATTTTTCCATTTGCTGTGGAACCTAACACGTGAAAGTTATTATTGTACTCTCGTACATCAATGTCTGAGAGTTGTCCTTTGGACAAAATCTTTTCCGCCAAAGTTCTTTCATTCATTTTTGTAGTAGGTGGCTGAGATGAACCTTCATATACAAAGAGTAATGAACTTGCATAAAAATTAAGCTGCTTCTGGCTTTCAAACCACTTCAGAATGTTCTCAATCTTCCGAATACTGGCAGCAACAGCATCTCTTCTTAAACAGTATCCATTATGAAAAAACCTGGAGACTCCTATAAAAAGAAAAACCTTAGCATTACAACAAAACTATAAAATTGTTATATTTGGGAAGTAAATTCATTTTAGATAGAATTTTCCAATCTTTCTCCCATCATCCTTTATAATTAACTGGACACTAAGAATTTCAGTCATATAAACTTAAACCTGAACTTAACTTCTGGCTAAGACATTTATAATAGAAAACATTTAAACGACAATTACATTAAGTAAAATTTTCTATTTAAACAAAAAATAAATTAGATGCACACTGATAGCTCATATATTGCTAGTATAACTAGTATGTAATATTATCCCATAATGTGCTGTTGGGCTGGAGCGACAGCACAGCTGTAGGGTGTTTGCCTTGCAAGCAACCAACACGGCCAACCTGAGTTCGATTCCTCCACCCCTCTCGGAGAGCCCGGCAAGCTACTGAGGATCTCGCCCGCATGGCAAAGCCTGTCAAGCTCCCCGCGACGTATTCAATATGCCAAACACAATAACAAGTCTCACAATTTGTTGTGGGATATTACTGGTGCCCGCTCGAGCTAACTGATGAACAACAGGAGGACAGTGACAGTGACAGTGATGTGCTGTTATGATACTATGCTTGAGCTTAGCTAAAAGGTCGAGAAGCGATATTATAAACTATTTTATACTAAAATGACTTATTTGGTAGCATTATATTCAAGAGCTAATATAAAAGCGAGTCAAATTGTAACTATTTTGACCCAGGGACAGCAGAAACGAGGGCCAGGAGGATTTTTCCATCGTTGGAAGCCGGCCTCTGGTGCTTGGGAAGAAGAACGGTTGGGCAAAAGAAAAGGGACCACTATGATGAGAGTTGAAAATGATCACTCTGGATAAGTACTGTGTGCTCAAAGCAGGTGAAGGAACAAACATGATGACCTCTCGGTAGCATCTGTATTGCAAACCCTAAAAGGAGCATGGGAGAGCAGGAGAGAATGAGGGGGAGAAAGGGACAGAGACAGAGACAGAGACAGAAGGAAAGTGCCTGGCATAGAGAAAGGCTCGGGGAAAAAGTGACCGGAGGGAAACTGTGGACAGTGGTGGTGGGGCATGTGCACTGGCAGAGGGATGGGTGTCAGAACACTGTGGACTGAAACCCAACCGTGAACGGTTTTGTGACTGTGCATCTCACGGTGGGATTCAATTTTTAAAAACCAAATAAAAAGAACTGAATTCAGGAAAAAAAATTTAATGTTCTGAATACTGTCAACAGTCTATAGCCAAAACATCAAGCTAGAAGTGTACAAAAGATAATATTGGAAGTATCACTACTCCTAGTTCAAAACTGAAGTTTTCAAATGTTTTAACCTATTAGATCAGAAATCATCTTTTAAAATAATGTATACCTATTTTATGACATTTAGAGATTCTTGGGTCTATACAACTTCACTTCCACAGTTTGTGAAACTGCAAAAATAACTAGCCTGGGAAAATATTTTAATAAATAGTTTATTTATTATTTTACAATTGGTTAAGCACACCAAACTAAATGCTAACCAAAACCACACTACATATCTTTATTATTTTTATACATATGAAATAAAATGAAGTAAGATGAAATAAAAATTCCATCTTTAAAATCCTTAAATTTTACATAAACTCTTCTCCATCTTAGGGAAAGCTAAGAATAAATTTAGAGCAGATTACTGTGGAAGAAATTTAAGATATTTACATAATGCCTTGGGCAAAATTATTTTGGAGGAATAGACTTCTTTTTAGCTTATTTAATGGCACTAATTTATTTGATGTGTAGTTCTAAATGCATGTAATATACAATTCAACAATACATAGGCAAATTTAATAAAGACATTTAATCCTATGCATACTTTTCAAAGTTGTATTCAACAGTAAATTTAATATACTATGACCTATATACTATGAGTTTAATGGCAAACTCTAGATATTAAATTCAACCTAAACTAGCAGGTTGGTTCACAGATATTATTTTTTAAAACATATGAACAAATAACAAAAATATAAAAAACTGATCCAAAGACCTATGGTTTAAGTATATCTTCAATCAGTTTAATCCACTCCTATAGGTCTAGATTAATCCTTTTAAAAGACTATTTATTATCAATTGAACCATTACTCAAAAGAGGGATTAAAGCTGAATCATTTTAGAATATTCTGGTAACTGTACAGTAATAAAAACATAAATTATGTTTTTCAATCCTTACCATCCTTTAGCGTTTCTTTTGTTAAACTCCTCCCATAGTGCTGGTTTTTTGCCTCATAGCTATCAGAATGAACGTGATACACCTGTCAGGAAAAAAGCAATGAATATTAAAAACAAACTCTTCTTGACCATGTGGGGTTTATCCCAGAAGGATAATGAAAGACAGGAAGATCGATTCCTACCATGCGTTCCAACGCATTCCAATGTGCAATGACTGAGTTTGAACCTAGGGCCTCATGCAAGGAAGCACATGCCCTGTCACGGAACTATATCCCTAGATTCATCCATGTTGCAAATGGAAGGTTTTCTTCTTTCTTGTGACTGAATAGTACTCACTGAGAGTCTTCTTTATCCATTCATCTCTACACAGCATTTTATAGCTTGACTATCGAGATTGCTGCACATGCCTGCAAAGATCTCTTTAGGATATTGATTTTCCTAACACACTTCAAAATCAAGCACATTAAGTGAATGCATGTAGTTGTATTTACATCAATAGAAAAATAGTATTAAATGCTGTTAGAACACTAAAGCACTGGAAGCAAAGAAGCCTTCTCTACACCTTAGACCAAGAAGAATTAAAATACAGGAAGAATCAAAATGTACGGGGCTGAAGCGATAGCACAGCGGGTAAGGTGTTTGCCTTGCACGCAGCCAACATGGCTCACACAAGTTCGATTCCCAGCACCCCATATGGTCCCCCGAGCACTGCCAAGAGCAATTCCTGAGTGCATGAGCCAGGAGTAACCCCTGAGCATCTCCGGGTGTGACCCAAAAAGAAAAAAAAAAAAAAGAATCAAAATGTACAAATGAAATGTTTTAAAAAGTGCCCCACCGATGGAAGAATCCTTACATAAATGGAACTAGGTAAGGTTTTCAACCAAAACCCCGAAACTTCCTCCACATACATTATATATTATAATAGCACAGTGGTAGGGCATTTCCCTTGCACACAGCCAGCCTGGCCGAGCCAGGTTCGATTCCTCCGTCCCTCTCGGAGTCCGGCAAGGGACTGAGAGGATCTCGCCCGCACAGCAAAGCCTGGCAAGCTCCCCGTGCCGTATTCGATATGCCAAACACAGTAACAACTGTTACAATGGAGACGTTACTGGGCCCGCTCGAGCAAATCGATGAACAGAGGGAGGATATATTAGAAATGCCCAGCGTTTTTGTCATGTGTGAGTCAAAGGACAGATAAATAGAAAAAGTACATAAAATTTATATGAACAACCAATCACTCTTACAGAAAAATTAGCAAAACTTGAAGAATGCGCAAAAATCATTCATCAAGTGTAACAAGCACCCAGCCCTCCAAAACTCTGACAACTGAAAATGTCTCCAGACATCGCCAAACGTAGCCACGCAGAGCAAATTTATCCCTGGTTGAAAGTCACTGCTCGGCATCATGAAGACTGCCAAAATACTCCAGAATTATAAATGTACATCAGCATATCAACTTTTAGAAACTTATCCCATAAATATGCAAGCACAGTGACAGAACAAGGTAGTTCTTGTGATTCATTTTTATACCATCAATTGTGACAAAGAACGGAGAAAGAATTTCAAAGACTCTTATCAAAAGGGACTGGTTAAATCATGCCATACTATTGTGTAAGACATGCTATACTATTGTGTAAGTGGCAGAGAAAAAGCAAGACACTTAACAGTATTCAAAATATATTTTGTGACTATATATGTATACACACACATACATATTCACATACATATGTTTACACACACACACACACACATACATGCTCCCATATACATATATAGGGATCAGAGAGATAGTACAAAGGGCAGGGCACTTGGCTTGTATGCAGGCAACCCGGGTTCTATCCCTGGCACCCCATAGTTCCCTGAGGACCATCAGAAGTGATCCCTGAGCACAGAACCAGGAATCAGCCTTGAGTAACACCCAAAATTATTTTTCAATCAAGTTTACCTCCTATTTTAATATTCTAGAAGTGTACAGTCAAATTTATATTTATATAACTATTCTCACTGTAATACTTTAATCACATTCCTTTTGGGTTTTGTTTTGGGGTCACACCCAACGGTGCTCAGGGCTTACTCCTCACTCTGCGCTGTGCTCAAGGACCAATACTGGCGGGCTCAGAGAGCCATATGGGGTGCAGAGAACCAAACCCTCGTCAGCCATGTGCAAGGCAAACGCCCTGGCCACTGCACTCCAACTCCAGCTCCCAAGAGCATATTTTTCCTTAGTTAAATGACATATAATTATCCACATTTAATATGAAAGGAAGCTATAGAAAGAAAAATAAAGCCAAGTTTGGAAAGCTAAACTGATTCACAGGAAAAAAAAAAAATCCTACTGAAATGCCAGCTGGTGATTCTTTTCTGAAACCAAGAAGTTGATCCTAAAATTCATGTGGAAATTTATTCAAAAAAATCTTGAAATAGAGAAAGTTAAGATATTGTATTCCTGACTTCAAACTCATTCCAAAATTACATTAATCTGATTACATGGTTCTGAAAAAGTATTTGCAAATCATTTATCTGCTAAGGGACTACTGTCACTGTCACTGTCCTCCCATTCGTAGTTCATCGATTTGCTCCAGCGAGCCCAGTAACATCTCCACTGTGAGACTTGTTACTGTGTTCAGCATATCGAATACGTCACGGGGAGCTTGCCAGGCTTTGCCGTGCGGGCGAGATACTCTTGGTGGCTTGCCGGGCTCTCCTACTAGTGAAATATTTAAAGAACTCAAGCACTGTTGCAAAAAAAAGGAAATAAAAAAAAAAAGGAGTTATTGAAAAATGGACAGAGAAACAGAACAGACATTTCCCCAAAGGAAATATCCAAATGCCCAAGAGAAGAGGAAAAGGCGCTCAGCATTCCTGATCATCAGGAAAACAAAACTCACAGCCCAGAAAAGATGTCCCTCACATTTGATAGGATCATCCTTTATCCACATTAAAATTGGACTTTCTTTTTATTGATGAGTGGTATATGAGTTGTTTTTATTTATTTTTTTTAAATTTGGGGGCCCCACCTCAGGGCTCCTAGGGACGACTACAGATTCTGGAAGGGCTAATGATGCCAAAAGGACTCGAGGTCTTTGAGAACTAAGACCAAAAGAATGATGGCTCTGACTACAGAATTTCTGCTTTGTGAAATTCCACTCAACTGGAAAGTAAGTAAGAGAAATTATTGTGATCTCTGTGATTTGTTTTGTGAGGTACAAGTCACTTAATGACTGATCAGTTTGAGGTCTGTAAGCTGTCAAGCAAGATCTCTCGTAGGTTGTCAGATACACAACTAAGCACTGGTAGGTGCTTGCCCTGCATGCAGGTGACCTGGGTTTGACTCCTGATACCCGGTACAGTGCCCCAAGACTATCTTGAGTGATCCTTAAGTGCAGAACTAGGAGTAAGCCCTGCGTGCTACCAGGGGTCACAGTTCTGACATTTAGCCAGAACTATTTATATTTAAATTTATATGGGTTCTATTCCTCCGCCCCTCTCGGAGAGCCCGGCGAGCTACCGAGAGGATCTCGCCCCACGGCAAAGGCTGGCAAGCTCCCCGTGACGGATTCGATATGCCAAACACAGTAATGACAAGTCTCACAATGGTGACATCACTGGTGCCCGCTCAAGCAAATCGATGAAAAACGGGAGGACAGTGTTTGTTCATTTGTTATTTTATTAATCATCTACTAAATATTAGAACTATTACAGACACTAAAATATAAATTACATGCATTAATCAAACATGCCAGTAAACAGAAGTCAAACTCTGCCCATACTGGGGAACTACAGACAACAAAATTTTAAAAACATATTATCTTTAGATATATTCATATTACAACGATGTCTACAATTTTCAAGGAAAGAACATGAAACGCACAATGTGTATGTTATACTAATAATCACTCTTACCCTCATGCCAAGCACCAAGAACCCAATCTCTTCCATTAATGGGTACTTGCTGACCTGTTGCTGAATCTTCTCAGATGAGGCAAAAGGATCATAACTTTTTCGCCCTATCTTTACATCCATTATACAGGGTTTATTAAATTTATGGGTCACATCTTCCAGTTTAAGGTATAAATCTGTTATCAGAGAAAAATCTTCATTAGAAAGCATATAATACCAAGGTAACTGCCAAGGGAAAACAAAACAATTCTAAAACTGATTTTTAAAGTTTTTCGGGGCTGGATAGCACAGCAGGTAGGGCATTTGCCTTGCATGCGGCCAACCCGGCTTTGATTCCCAGCATCCCATATGGTCCCCTGAGCACTGCCAGGTGTAACTCCTGATTGCATCGCCAGGTGTGACCCATAAAGCAGAATAAAAAGTTTTTCAAAAAATGAGAATTACTAGTTCCATCTGAAAAGACTGACCAACCAACAAATTGATTACAAGCATAAACAGCACAGAACAATTCTACAGGACATGAATTAAAGAACAGATACAAAACAGATGCCAAGGAGATACAATCTCAAAGGGCAGGACATTAAAACGGCCGTGAGATTGATCCAGCAATGTTGCGCAACACAGAAGGAAACATCCATCTCCTTTCTTTAGGGTTCTAAGAATGTTTCAGTTCTAAGGCTTGTATTTCAAGTGTCAAAAGGAGTAATACGGGGTAGTTGGCATTCGCGAGCTTCTTATCATTAATTGCTACATCCTGAGGGGCTCCAAAAGTCTTTATGAAGTGAAAATGTAGATAGCAGTACAACAAGTGAGTGAAACACGCTAACCAATCACAACACTGGCCAGAGATGTAGCTCAGCAGTATAGCAAATGCCTTCTATAGTTCAATTCCCAGCACTGCAAAAAAAAAAGAACAAATAGTAAAAGTCTTAAGAGGGCCTGGGACAGAGCTAAATGGACTAGGTGTAGGCTTCAAAATGCAGGAGGCCCCGGTTCAACCCTGAGCACATGGTCTAAGTACACAGATGTGGCCTCCAAATTCTCAAAGACAAAAATGAAAAAATAAAGTCTTTCAAAAAGTAAATTCATTAACCATCATCATTATGTCATCTCTATACCTGAGTGTAGAGTCATTACTTCCAACTAACCAAATGGTAGTCGTGGTTAAAATAACTTTCATCTGTGACCACAGAAATAATACAGAGGGGAAGGCACTTGCCTGGCATGTGACTGAACTAGGTTCAATCCCTGGCCCCACACATCATCCCCCCCAGGTACTGCCAGGCGTGATTCCTGAGAGGGCACAATTCGGAATAAGTCCTGAGCACAGCCAGGTGTGGTCCGAAACCTCAAATAATAACATAATAGTATTTTTTTAACATAAAATAGAGATGACAGGAACTCTACAATCTCTGCTTTAAAAAATCTGAATATATAATTTGTACATCTTCTCTTGGGAAGGAGGAAAATACAAATGCAAACATTCTGGATAGTAGGAATACAATAAATGTTTGCGGAATGAATGTTTGCTCTTCTTAGTCTTCTTCCCAGAGAGACTTTGGGTTTGGCTTTCCTCAAATTACAATAAATTGAGTCACGTCCTCAGTAAACACACCCAAATACTATGGGCTCTATTTGACATTTATTTTGACTAGCCAATAGAATACATTAAGAACTGAAAGTAAGCTTTAAGAGGAGCTTACTTTCAGTTCTTAGTCTATTCTATACATGTTATGTAATTAACTTCCAAAATACTGATGAGCAATATTAAATTAATAATCCTAAGACTTTCTGACAGAGGTGGTAGAGCGTTTTAGACCTCCAGCTTCAACTTTTTAAGTAAAAAATACTTGAAATCATCTCTTTTCATTTATAAATAATAGGTTTTGATAAATATCTGCTTCAGAGATATGGAGCTCTTAAAAATAACTATATATTATGTATTTAGAAAAAATAATGAACGCTTGATATATATATGTAGCTTGTAAGTTTGAACTGAGTCTTAAAAACTGAAGAGATTTTTATGTATACACATGCATGTATGTGTATAAATAACAAAATAGCATAATTAACTTTTCCAATTTCTAACATGCTCATTTCTTGAACAGATTCTGGTGAAGCCAGACTGTCAAAGGTACAAGAACCAGCACCTGTAAACGTTAGATCTAAGAAAGGGAATCACAAAGTTCACTCCTGTTATTTGTATAATAAACAGAAGGACATCTACTTTTTATAAATACATGAAGTACAATATACAAGTGATAGAAATAGCATTACAAGAGGTAACAGGGATTAGAAATGCAGTCAAATTTAAGAGGTTAGTTAGCAGCTAGAGACACAGCACAGCAGGCAGGGCACTTGGCTTGCCACAACACACGGCACCTGAGCCCTGCCAGAAGCGATCCCTGAAAGCAGAATCAAGAGAGCCCTAAGTACACTCGGTATGGCCCAAAAACAAAAAAGAAGGGGGTTGGGAGAAAAGGGGTATGGCTGCAAAAGACAGACCTTTTATTTTTACTCAATGGAATATCAACTACAAACTTTCTTCGATTTTTGAGGTAAGCATCCTAAGAATAAATACCAGCTATTCCAAACATCTCTACTTCATTACTGTTATGACGACGATTCAATATGATCCATATGATTAAAAAAATCCTGAAAACCGAATGGGCTGAGCGCATACTCACATGCAGGAGGCTCAGGCTTCACTCCCCTGCACTATGAATAGTCACCTAAGCCAAGGAATGGTCCAAAACCAATTTTTTAAATGCATGCATTTATGCTGTTGATAATACAAGTTTATGCAAGGTCACTATCGATGAAGAAAGGTTTTCTATTTCAAATTTGTTTTTTATTAAAATGTGTATAACTAGCTATGGTAGATAAACATTAAGTATACTTTGTTTCATTCCTCTACAATTTTCCTGCTGCTGGAATATCATCTGACATTCTGAGATGCAGAAAATTATCCAATATCCAAAGAGGAAAAAATGGAAATGTTTTAAATACTGTGGAAAACTTGAAATATTTATAGATAACTAAATTGTAAAGATGACCAGCTTCTTGAAGGGTAATTGAAGGAAGATTTATTTAGATTCCCCTAATACAAGTTTTTGATTGTGTAAATTATGAGGCTATGGACTCCAAGTTTCACCAAGTATATATATATATATACACAAATATTTATATATATATACACACACACGTATACACATATATATCTACAAAGTCTACACATCTAATATATATCTATGTATCTACAAAGTCTACTAGGTATTGATCCAAAAAGGAGAAAAGGACAGGTGCAGAATTTCTAAATTACCCAACTAAGACACCAACAGTAGTTCTTGAGCACTGTCATGTGTGGCCCAGAAAATTGAAAAAAAATAAAATGCTATTATTTAAAGTCTGAAGGCAAAGAACAGGAGATAGTCTAAAAATCAACTACAAGTATATATTTTTTCATTCAATTAGACAGATTGGTCATTAACATGTATATGTGACTTAAGAAACTATTTTTGGGTATCTATTTTGGGTAAAAACCATTTTGGGTAAAATACTAGTAAGTTGAACAAAAATACACATGCAATCTATATGGCATTCGACTTAACTTATATAAAGTCTTTTTAAAACCCACTCTTACAAATTAAGATCAAAAAAAAGAGAAGGATAAATTTCAATGAAAAGATTACCATTCGGTGCAGTGGGAGGCGACCAGGTGCCATAATACCTTGGCAAATATTTTCGGAGCTCTAAAAGAACACCATCACTACAATCAGCAGCATAGACCTAGAACAAAAGAATACATAATATTTTCATTCTGGCTAATTAAAATGCTTTACAATAGCCCTAAACATCTCTCAAATAAAATAGTAATGTTGAATTAGAACTTATATGTGAGTTTCAATTGGAAGTAAATTTGAAATAAGCAAAAAAGATTACTATCTGCAGAAGAAAAACTAAGTACAGGGGCTAGAGCAATAGCATAGCAGGGAGGGCGTTTGCCGGGTTCGATCCCCGGCATCCCATACAGTCCCCCAAGCACCGCCAGGAGTGATTCCTGAGTGCAGAGCCAGGAGTAATCCCTGAGCATCACTGGGTATGACCCAAAAAGCAAAAAAATAAAGAAAAAAGAAAAACTAAGTACAGAGATCTAATTCTAGTTTTCACTGTCCTTGAACTATTTTATAACCAATTCCAGGCATTCTTGACAAATACAAAATCCACAAATATTCATAAATACCTAGTAAATTTTGGTGAGGAGGAAAGTCAAAGTTCATTGACTTTCCTTCACAAACCTAGATAGGGGAAAAGAGTGTTCGTAAGTAAAGTCATCGAACTTTGACTTTATTCCACATAAATTTGTGTTCCTTTGGTTTCTTTCTTGAATGAGCTTTAATATCTGCCTGGTTCCTTTCTTTAAATGATGACTTTTTTTTTAAATAATTTATTTATTGGATCACCGTGGGAAAAGTTACAAAGCTTTCAGGTTTAGGTCTCAGTCATGCAAATATCAAACACATTTCCCTTTACCAATAAATGATGACTTTTAACAAAATTCTTAATGTGGTGTGATTTAATTGTTTGGGGAGCCACATCTTGACAAGTGGAGGCTTAAAGGTCATTTCCTTTGGTGCTGCAAGATCGGTGAGTGCCAGAAATTGAACCCAGGCCTCACCCATGCAAGCAAAGTAATCCACCACTGACCTATATTCCTGATCCTAAGGGTTGTGATTTTGTGATTTTACCTGATATATATCCTTTCATTCACTGTGAGTCACATTTTTGTCCATGTCATTTCTTTTTATAATTCAAACAAAACATACTAGAAATATACAGACATCATAGAACTAGGTTGTTGGGGAATTTCTTACTCTAAAGAAGTAAAAATACTTTTTTCTTTTAAAAACAACTTGTAAGATATTTTAACTAACTCTTGCCTAATACTATTTATACTAGAGAGATAGTACAAGGATTAAGGTGTTGCCTTGCAGGAGACTCTGGTTTAATGCTCAGCACCACATATGGTCTCCCCATGACACCTGAGCACAGAGCTGAGAGGAAGCCCTGAGCAGTGCCTGGGGTGGCCCAAAAGCCAGTACCCCAAAAACAGATGCACTCTGCCTAACTACCTAGAGCCATTCATTTGCTCATGTCAAAACATTTATGAAAGCAAACATTCAAATTCTAATTATCTGTGTCAAATCATATCTACTTCAAATAGTTACATGTAACATAATTCTACACAATAAACTCAAAGGTGACAGAGAATAAAAGACCCACGTGTTCCATTGCCATTTCATAATCTTCCTGGTTGAAATGTGAGCAGAAGTATTATTAGTCATGTCAGTGATAGTGCGCACAGCGTGCTTTATCCCTGTTATTTCCGGCATGACTCTAAAAGCCAGGCTCATGAGAACAAGAAGAACAGAGTATATTTCTATGTGCTGACCTAAAGTGGCCTATAACATATTTAAAAGTGAAAAACAAAAAACAAAAGAACTGAAGGGGTAGAAATGCAAACTTTTTTCTTTGTACCTAATTTTAAAAACTAGCATAATATTTCTCAGAGTGAACTATATGTCCCCCAGAAGGTATGCTATCAGGGTGCGTGCGTGGTAGTAGCTTTGGGTACATTAAAGGGGAACTTTCTATCTGTTCACTTTAAAAAGGTAGATTTCAGGGGCTGGAGCAATCATACAGCAGATAGGGCACTTGCCTTGCGCCTTGCATAAGCTGAGGCAGATTCAATCCCTGGCACCCTAAGTGGTCCCCTGAGTCTTCCAGGAGAGATTCCTGAGTGCAGAGCCAGGAGTTAAGCCTGGAGCCCCACCGGGTGTGACCCAAAACCATAAACCAAAAAGTTAAAATACATGTCCTAGAGTATTTATTTTAAAAAGCGGTGTAATATTAGAAACTTAGGTTACTTTACAACTTTAACAGGTTGAAGAAAGAAAATGCATATGACCATTTCAAAAGATACAGAAAAGGTAACAAAAATATTCAAAACTCACTGGTTTAAAATTATTTCTCAAAATAAAAGTAGAAAGAATGCAATAGAGCTTCCCTTTTTTCCCTCCAGGTTTTTGTTTTTCAAGTTGACTTGAGTTGACTACATCACTGAAATCTTTTAGTCCTCTTGCCTTGTCTCTTAATGGTGCAAGAACAGAGCAAGAAAACAGTAAAGATCAGATTATTGATGCTACAATTCCCTTTTTTATCAGTTTGTGTCTTCTCACAAAGTCACCTTCCTTGGGTTCCAGTGAGCACTCCCTCTCAGCCCTTACAGTCCAGGGACAGCATAGTGTTATCTCTTGAATGTGGCCTTAAATCTCACCACACCTTTGTAAAGTCGCTATTAAAGTGACAAGGTCCACTGTTTGTTTCTTGACAGCAGTGTATCTTACACAGAGAGCAACTTTCTAAATATGGAAAGACGTATTCAACAAAAACTTTAGAAAAACACACTCTGAAAAGTTAGAAGTGCCCCTGTTAAAATACCCTCGGCCCCCTAACCAGTTCTCACCACCACTGCTCCTAGTTAGCACTGAACTAGAAGACTTTGACAGAAGTAGATTCAAAAGGGACAAACCTCCAATCATGGAAGATATAATCGTCTATAAATAATCCAACTGGGATTGCTGGAGAATCTCATATAAATGTAAGTTTAAAAAATAGAAGGAACACTAGATAAGAGCACTATTTCAGTATAAGACTAAACTCGTTTAGTCTTATACATTAGCAATCACTGGAAAACTTAATTGAGAAGGTACATACTGTTAACAGAAACAAATATAGCATTAGAACAGATCCCACAAAGTATGCACAAGACTTTTCTAGCACAAATATAAAACACTTTCTTTAAAAAAGAAAAAACGAATGGGTCGCCATAGAGTACAGGAGTTAGGGGGCTTGCTTTTCATGTGGTGGGCTTCAGTTCAATTCCCAGCACTGCACATGCTCCTCTCAAGAATTAGTAGCGCACCCTCAGCACAAAACCAGGAGCATCCCCTGAGCACCAGCAGATGTGGTCCCACAAACTAACAACAACAACAAAAAAAAACAGGTGATTTAAAAGACAGAAAGAGGCAGAAAGAGAGAAAGAGACAGAGAGACAGAGACAGAGAGACAGAAAGAGAGAAAGACAGAAAGAGGGAGGGAGGGAGGGAGGGAGGGAGGGAGGGAGGGAGGGAGGGAAAGAAAGAAAGAAAGAAAGAAAGAAAGAAAGAAAGAAAGAAAGAGACAGACTAGTCTTGCACATACAGCAAGACTTCCTATATTTAAATCCTGTGTTACCCTTTACTATTTGAATAATCTAGGCCATTATTTAAACAAATTATGCCTTAATGTGCGCATATAGATAGCACAGCGGTAGGGCGTTTGTTTGCCTTGCACGCAGCCAAAATGGCCGACCCGAGTTCGATTCCTCCGCCCCTCTCGGAGAGCCCGGCAAGCTACCGAGAGTATCTCGCCCGCACGGCAGAGCCTGGCAAGCCCCCCGTGACGTATTCGATATGCCAGACACAGTAACAACAAAAGTCTCCAATGGAGATGTTACTGGGCCCGCTCGAGGAAATCAATGAACGACGGGAGGGCCTTTACCTTTACCTTTTATTAAAATGAGAAGCTAGTTTACAGGTTGTTGAGAGGGTCAAGTGAGGTAATATCGGTGAAGTATTTCAGCAACGCATTTGTTTTGTTTTGATTTGCATTATTTTAATAACTTCTATCAAAATTTCAGAGCTAATGTTATACAATTCTTAAAAGAAAACATAAATATAAATCTTTATGACCTAGTATTAGGTCATTGTTTCCTAGATAAGACACCAAAGGCATAAAAAAAAGAAAAAAAGCTAAATTGAACTGAATATTTTGAAACATTTGTCCTTCACTGAAATTGGAAAGACAATCACAAAATGGTAGAAAATATTCAAAAACGTGGTATTTAATAAGAACTTGTATTTGTTTTTTTTTAAAAAAAAAAAAAAACCTGACAGCATTCAGCCGAAGAGAAGGACAACATGGAGGGCGGGATCTACAGATCCCGAAGGAAAAAAAAAAAAAAAAACGGGTTCCAAAAAGAGCTGAGATCATCGGGAAGTCCCAGATGGGGTAGGTACCGCATCCCGCCTCCCCCAGATGGAACCCCGGTGACCAGAAGCCTCTACAAGCACAGCTCGAGTATGCGGGAACTAGGACTCTATATACAAAGTGATCCATGGGAAGTAAACCACCCAATGTTTCTCTCTGAAAATCAGAGTTAAGTTTGGAGCACGGCCACAGCCCCAGAAGCACAAGGACTTAATGCAGAACCCAGCAGCTTGGAGCAGAAAAGTGAACGGACTATGCGTTAATCCAGGCCATCAGGTCTGTCCGGAGGGGAAAGGGTGTTGCCCCAGTCGCCTTCTCCTCTCTGGAAAGAAAGATGGCGGCCACATGGGAGCCTTGTGGACAGCAGGTATGAGCCAGGGGAGTGGGGGCGACTAAAACCTCATGGGAAGGGGGGCGTTTCGGTCCGCCCTTCACGCCCTACTGAGGTCACCAGTTGCCCCCCATGAGCGGCTCTCCAGCACGGCCACAGCCCCAGAAGCACAAGGACTTAATGCAGAACCCAGCAGCTTGGAGCAGAAAAGTGAAAGGACTATGCGTTAATCCAGGCCATCATGTCTGCCCGGAGGGGAAAGGGTGTTGGTCCCTTCCGCCCTCCTCCCTCTGGAAAGAAAGATGGCGGCCACATGGGAGCCTTGTGGACAGCAGGTATGAGCCGGGGGTGTGGGGGCGACTAAAACCTCATGGGAAGGGGGACGTTCCGGTCCGTCCTTCACGCCCTACCGAGGTCACCAGTTGCCCCCCGCGAGCGGCTCTCCAGCACGGCCACGGCCCCAGAAGCACAAGGACTTAATGCAGAACCCGGCAGCTTGGAGCAGAAAAGTGAACGGACTATGCGTTAATCCAGGCCATCAGGTCTGTCCGGAGGGGAAAGGGTGTTGCCCCAGTCGCCTTCTCCTCTCTGGAAAGAAAGATGGCGGCCACATGGGAGCCTTGTGGACAGCAGGTATGAGCCGGGGGACTGGGGGCGACTAAAACCTCATGGGAAGGGGGGCGTTTCGATCCGCCCTTCACGCCCTACCGAGGCCACCAGTTGCCCCCCACTAGCGGCTCTCCAGCACAACCACGACTCCAGAGCACAGAAACCAATTTCTTAACTATCTGACTTTCAGTAGAAATACTTCCAGGGTCAATAAGTAAAATAGCAGAAATCCAAAACCAACATTTAATTCTTGAACCCAGCTGTAGAAAGCAAATCACTTCACAATGCTTTTTCAGCATGTCTGATGGGGGGGGGGGGGGGTAAACTCTAAATAATAGTGGTGAATCTTTTATTGAAACAATGAATCTAATCAAAGCAGATAGAGTGTTAACTAGAATTCATCTGCCCCACAGGGACTGGGAGGGGTGGGGGTGGGGTTTTATTGGGGTTCTTCATGGTAAAAAATAAGTATTGGTAAAGGGAAATGTGTTTGATATTTGCATGACTGAGACCTAAACCTGAAAGCTTTGTAACCTTTCCCACGGAGATTCAATAAATAAATAAATTTTAAAAAATTAAAAAAAAAAACCCTGACTTAGGGTTCCCACCTAGATTAGAAATTTCCCAAATAGGGTACAGTCTGAAGTGAGTAAAAAAATTATTTTTTAGAAAGATAATCTAATAAAACAGCAAGTGAAGGATCTAAATAAACAGTTTCAAAGAAGATATGTATAAGACCAAGAAGAATGTGAGGACACTCAACATCATTAGTGATTATGAAATGCAAATCAAAACAAACCACAAAACAATAAGCATTTACACTCACTTGGATAATCACTAAAAAATAAAACAGGGGCTGGTAGGTTTCAGAAAAACTGAAACCTCATACATTTCTGATGGAAACAAAAAGTATAATGGGACAGCCACCTTGGGGAACACTACGGCAGCTCCTTAACCAGTTAAATAAAAAATTCCACGATCCAGCAATTCTACCCCTAGTACACACCAGAAGAACTGAAAACAGATACTCAAGTATTGCACATAAATGTTCCTAGCAACACTATTTACAAAAATAGAAAACAATTCAAATGACTAATAAGTGGGTGGACAGGTAAATAAATGAAAGATTACAAGAAACGGACACCAACCTTCCACCACCACAAAAAAAAAAAACCCAGACATAAGCAGTTGCATTCTGCATGCCTCCATTTATATGCAACACTACACATAGGTCTAGGTTCATGGAAAGCAACGGTTTTTCAGGGACAGAGAAATGGTTTAATGAACACAGGGTATTCTTTTGGAGTGATAAAATGTTCTGTTGCTAAATAGAGGTGGTGATCATAAAACATGGCAAACATATTAAAAAGTATTCCTCGGTGGGATGGAGGGGATGGGGGGTGGGAGGGATCCTGGGATCAGTGGTGGTGGGAAATGGGCACCGGTGGAGGGATGGGTATTTGATCATTGTATAATTGAAACCCAAGCACAAAATTTGTAAGTCTACAACTGTACCGCATGGTGTCTCACTAATAAAAATTTTTTAAAAAAGTATTCCTGATACTATGTAGCTACAGGAAAAGATGCAATCTTGATTTCACTGCAACTTGGATGGAAGTGAAGGGCATCCTACTCAAGCAAAGTCAGAAGGATGAATACCAGACGATCTCGGTGGTATACAGAGAAACAAAACAAGGGAACGGACAGTATCTAATGATAACAAATCCTTGGTCCCGGATCACCAAACTGAGAATGCCAAGCACGGAGGAGAAGAGGTGGTGGTGAAGACGTGGACAAGTCCCACAAGGATAGAGGTGGTGGTGAAGACGTGGACAAGTCCCACAAGGATACGTAAAGGGAACGGGGCGCTTTTGTGGTGGTGGTGAGGTGTGCTAACTGTATACACTAAAAACTGTATTTTATTATAAACAATTATAGTATTATAAACACGTGGCTTACAGTATTTCAATTAAAAGGAACTTTAAAAAAAAACTATCCTGTCACACAGTTCATTAGATGCTACATCCGCCCATTCCCCTCCCCTCTGGAGACTCATTACGCACATTAGAACATTTTAGAGCCCTAAGAGTTCTGCAGTAAAAACAAATTTAGCATTTCTGAGAAACACAACCAGTTGCACAACTGTTTTTCAAATTGTAGTTTATAACACATTAAGTAAAGTCATTTTGGTGATTAGAATGTCACTGTCACTGTCCTCCCGTTGTTCATCGATTTTGCCTGAGCGGGCCCAGTAACGTCTCCATTGTTACTGTGTTTGGCATATTGAATACGTCATGGGTAGCTTGCCAGGCTTTGCTGTGCGGGCGAGATACTCTCGGTAGCTTGCTGGGCTCTCCGAGAGGGGCAAAAGAATTGAACCAGGCTCAGCCAGGCTGGCTGTGCAAGGCAAACGCCCTACCGCTGTGCTATCGCTCCAGCCCAACTAGAATGAAGTTTTTAAAATAAAGCAGAAAAGTACATTAGACTGCATTGAGAAAGGTAAGCTTACTGGTCAGGGAAATAACTCAAAAGAACAGAGCTCACGACTCCCAAGTGTGAGGCCCCCAAGAGCACCACTGGGCATGGCTCTGGTGGCCCCCAGCACAGTTGATTCAAGCTGATCCCCTTCCCCCACTGGGAGGGTCTAAAATAAACAGTAGAAGCTAGATAAGTCTTATGAAATATGTTTCAGTCCACACACTGTACACTAAGATATAGTATTAAACGTATTTCCTCTTGAATGTATTTCTTGTTGAATGATAACCAGAAAACTATAAAAACAAAAAAATTCTACGAATGCAAGATAGCAAATCTTACCTCACTTACCATATTATAGAATTCCAGCTCTCTCGGCCCCCTTGGAGGAGGCTGTAATTGTTTCAAAACCGTGCCATCAGGATGTTGTAGTATACCTAGAGAAAAAAATTGTGCATTTTTAATGCTTTAATAATAGGGTGACCTTTTTACAGGATAGAGGTATAAATAAACCACTCTCATAAATTTAAAGGTCTCCTTGTACTTCAGAAATCTTAACACTCAACTACCACATTTCAGTTCTTGTTATATGCAAAGCACCAGGCCACTAACTCTTCAATGGTTTGCTTATTACCCTTTTATGGTCCCTTCAGATTTTCTGATAAAGAGGACACGTACATTTTTATGAAAATTCTTCCATGAAAGGGCCAGAGCGATAGTACAGCAGGCGGGATGCGTGCCTTGCATGCAGGTGATTTTCCAAGAGACGTTATTTCACTGACGAACAAGTCAAAAGCAGAAGGAAAACGGCAACAAGTGCCTGTTCCACATCAACAATAACAAAAATCAGGAGCAAAATTGATCCCACTTTTATAAGGAGGAGAAAAATCCTACATGAATTTCCCACCTTGTAAGTTTTTTAACTATTAGAAGAAAGCAAAAGAGATGTACACTCAGAGAGTGTGAGTCTACCTGGCCATCACGAAAAGAGGAGGCTGAATTCAGGCACCGATCCTGAAGCAAAAAGGGAAACTACTACCCATCTGAAGAAGGCTTTTTTTTATAGCAATCACATACGTACTAGCACTGGCCCTCCAGAACCATAGAGTCTGATTCTCAAGCTTATGCTGTATCTTAAATGTTCACATTCTAGAATTTCACAGTATCATGTGGGTCAGAGTGTAACAGGACTGCATTGTAGCACAGTAGCACTGTCCTCCCATTGTTTGCCGATTTGCTGGAGCAGGCCCAGTGACATCTCCATCATGAGACTTGTTCCTGTGTTTGGCATCTTGAAGACGCCACGGGGACCTTGCCAGTCTCTGCCGTGCGGGCAGGATACTCTTGGTAGCTTGCCGGGCTCTCCGAGAGGGGAGGAGGAATCAAACCCAGGTCGGTTGGGTTGGCCGCGTTCAAGGCAAACAAACGCCCTACCCGCTGTGCTATGGCTCCAGCCCATAATAGGACAAGAACATTTATTTACATATTTTGATAAAACATGCCACTAAAGTTTCTGTTGCTTTCATTCGTGTCAAAGTTTTATAATGATCCCAAAATGCAGAACTAAATCAAGTGAAGTACAAAGTCTCAAATCAATCAAATTTAAGACACAGATACAGAAGGAAAGTAAATACTAATCCACATGGCTATGAATGAGGTTAGGATTTAGACCCAGAGTAGACCTTACTTCCCTCATTCTTCAAAGGGGAATGAGGAAAGAATCATTTTCCCTTTTCCTGGCAGGTATCTTCTTTGGACACAGGTAAACTGGTCACTAGGCAAATGCATTTAAGCAGGCAAAGAGAAACCTGGTCAACAGCAGACAACAACATTGGGTCAAAGGACTGGACGGAGGCAATTTTCTCAACACAAAAAGATTACTTATTCCAACAATTCTCCCACATTAACTACTCAGAAACACATCTTTTCTACACTTTTAGAGAAAGTAGCCTGTGGGAGAAATTGGCAATCCTGATCATTTTCTCAGTAACGTAATCCCAACATACAGAAGTAAACCAATAAACCGCAGACATACCTCTCTCCTCAAAAGAAATGTTAAGATAAAAACAGATCACTTGGGAAGACTGAATCAATAAGAGATAATTGAATGTATAAGACAGAGTCAATAATAATGAAGTGGATACTTAAGCACCAGCTCAACTAAATCACAGGAAATGTCATTTAGCTCTTACACTCTTACACTCTGGAACAAAATGTAACACTCTTAACTATTATTTAAATTGTCCAGACTCCAATAAAAAATTGAGAAATCATAGGAAATGTGATGCGAAATCAAGAAAAACAGTAATTGCCATCAGCGAATAAGAATGTTAAAACAACAAAACTGTGCTAAAGAAATAGGAAAAAGTGGATATAGTAAGTGACTAGAAGCAGCATTTTTGGGAAAAAAAGAAACTCGGGGGTATGGTACCGCCAGCAGGTCAATGTGTACCTGTGAGTGCATCAGCAGCCTAATGGCGCCTTCAGACTTCCAGATACCCCAAAATTGCTGCTGTGCCTTTGGCCAAACTCCAAAAACTTGGGGCAAAGTTTATCAAGAAAGCAAATGGCCAAAAGTTAGGTATGTGGAAAACACACCCACAAACCACCTCCTGCTCAGCTATATAATTGGAGGCATGACCTCTCTGGTTCCTGATTGAACTGCTTAATGGCCATGATCCCAGAGACTCTGAAACACATCTTGAAACCCAGCGGCTTTTGGCAGAAATGCGTCCGGTCCCTGCAGTAGGTTACTGGTGCTGGGCCAACCCAAGTGGGAATAGGTTTCGTGCCTTGGCCTGTTCCCCCCGCAGCCCAGTGGCCGCCATCCTCCAGAGGCCACTGGACAGTCAGGTTTGGGCCCCAAGTGACAAGACATTTTGGGCCTCACGGGATGGAAGTGGAGCCGGTCCTATCCTCCCCACCCCAACGAGACCCCAAGTCATCGCCCACAAACAGCCTCTCTGGCTCCTGATCAAGCTGCTTAACGGCCATGATCTCAGAAACAAAACTCGAAACCCAGTGGCTTTTGGCAGAAATGTGTCCAGACCCCACAGTAGGTTACTGTTGCCGGGCCACCCCAGGGGGAAAGGGTGTTGTCCCTCCGCTTGCTTCCCCCTGACAGGTCAGTGGTTGTCATTCTTCAGAGGCCATTGGACAGTCAGGTTTGGGCCTGCAGTGATGAGACATGCAGGGCCTCAGGGGATGACCCCCATGAGCCGGTCCTGTCCTCCCACCCCAATGAGACCCCCCCAAGTCATCGCCCATGAACGGCCTTTCTGGCTCCTGATCAAGCTGCTTAACGGCCATGATCCCAGAGACTCAGGAGCAAATCTCGGAACCCAGCAGGTTTTGGCAGAAATCCTTCCAGATTCAAGTGTTAAAATTTCGGAATTTCAAAATTGCGTGGCCACTACTGCAGCCACGCGACATCATATGTTATTCATAACCAGCAATAGAAAACAAATTGTCTACTGTTGCCTTTTCAGCAGATCTGAGTGTTGGGGTAAAATCTCAAATAATAGTGGTGGGTCTGGTGTCAAAATATTGAATGTGATCAAAGTAGAGAGAGAGTAATGTGGAAATCATCTGCCCCACAGGTAGGGGGAGGGTGTGGGATGGGGGTATACTGGGGTTACTGGGGGTGGAGAATGGGCACTGGTGAAGGTATGGGTGTTTCATTGTATGACCGAGACTTAGACCCGAAAACTTTGTAACTGCTCTCACGGTGATTCAATAAATAAAATTATAAAAAAAAAAAGTAAAGTGGAGTTCATGCACAATTCAACCAGCTAACCAGTGGCTGAATAAATAGCGTTACTCCTACATAAAAAAAAAAGCACTGAAAGAAATCAAAGAATTGAAAATTCCTAGTATCTGACAGAAAAAATTTAACCTACACACTAAAGAACAGGCAGTAAAATCTGAACAGGAAACAAATTAACGCAAAGAGGTTTTATAAATGATAAAAAGTTAAAAGATACTTGAACATTAGAAATCTGTGGATAATATCAAGCATTCCAACAAAAACATACTTTGTCTATCACATTAGTTTTGGGTCGGAAAATATCTAGACCTCCTCTCTACAGAGAATACTAAAAGCTGAAAGTGCAACACCATCAAAAATAAGGAGAAGTCAAGCTACAAACGGTCATGGTCCTCCCGTTGTTCATCGATTTGCTCGAGCGGGCCCAGTAACGTCTCCATTGGATACTTTGTTGTTACTGTGTTTGGCATATCGAATACGTCATGGGGAGCTTGTCAGGCTCTGCCATGCGGGCGAGATACTCTTGGTAGCTTGCTGGGCTCTCCGAGAGGGGCGGAGGAATCGAACTCAGGTCGGCCATGTTGGCTGCGTGCAAGGCAAACGCCCTACCGCTGTGCTATCGCTCGTAAACAACAAAAATCACATACAAGGAAAGACTTCTATCATGACGCAAAGACAAGACGGGAGCGCACCCCCCCCCCCCCCCGCCCCCAGCACAGCACAGAGACCACGGGCGGCAGCAGGTCAGGTCGACAGACCCTGAGACCAATGAAGCCAACACGCTGGCGGAGGGCAAAGTCTCGGAACATTATGTAAAATCCTGGAAGCAACAGGACTGCAAATCACAACCCTCAAATAGATTTTGTAAATGACTATCAAAAACAAAGTTAATAATCCACAGAATCAGGGTGGTAGAAAAGAAGTCGGGCGTGGCCTAGAGACAGCACTGGGAGTGACACATTCGCTCACCGGCTGGTAAGTGACTGACCTCCGGCCTGACCTGCATCACATCTCATCCACCCTGAGCACCGCTCCAGTGAAGCCCAATGTGGCCCATAGTAGAGCTGGGTGTGACACAAACAGCCCCTACTTAACTCCTGCCAAAGAGAAAAGATGGAGCTTCTTGGTAAGACAGGTCAAGACAATTTCAATTCTAAAGGCCAAGGAAGGGCAAGCATATAGAACTCTGAAAAGTTATGAACACTTGCAGCACCTATCTCCTCCACAGAGCTCTACAAAACGGTAGTAAAAGTGCTTGTCTTGCACCAGTCGACCTGTTTCGATCCCCAACCTATGTGGTCCCCCTGAGCACCTCCAGAAAAACCACCACACACAGAGCCAAGAATAAGCTCTGAGAACCACTGACTGTGGCTCCCGCCTCCCCACCCCCAACGCATAACACATACACAGTCTTGGAGGTACAAGTCTTGAGGGAGACACCACCCGAACAGGGAAATACACACACACACACACACACACACACACACACACACACACTCCCAAACTATTTCTACTGTGAATAAACTTCTCAAACTTCTCAGATGACAGCAATAAATCATGTTGCCCCCAATATTTTGATAATTTACCATGGATGGAAAGAATCACAAAAGAAAAATTTCTGGTGTCAGAGCGATAGTTAGTTGGTAAGGCTCTTGCCTTACATGCAGCCAA